TTTAGGCGAAATACTCAAAAAGAAGTTTGTAAAAAAATGAATCCGCCTCAACAATATAGAACTTATCTACAAGTTAAAAGTTCTTTAGAATATCCTCAAAATTTTGAGTTCTGTTGAATGCTTAATTTCCGCCTGAAATTTGTAATAAACTATTTGCAACCGTGTTAATTTTATTTGCATTTCTATGATTCAAATAATGTTTGCATTATCCATAGGATAAAAACAATTTACATTAATCCTAGTAACTCTCTAGATTCAAAAATGTGTTGAAAATGGTGTTAATTTTTCCTCATTTTAATAAATATTTAGCTTATATCTTTGGGAATATGTTCAAAAAAATGTAAGTTGTTCCATTTATTTGCTCCATTTATTTAGGTATACTCCGGCGTCAGATATCTTCTGTTGGCTCTGATTTTAAATCAAAATTTTCGCTTTCAAATGCCCCTAAAGGAAAAACTTTAGAAAACGGCTTTATGACATTTTCCCAAACAACAGAAACTAAACGAATTTTACAATATGATTCCCTAATATATTTGTCCAAAGGTTTAAAGTTTTTTGTGGAAGTTTGCTTATTTCGCAGAAATCCGACTCTCGTTCCCTCATAATAATTTTCAGTGTTTATATTCAAGGCTTATCTTGCAAGACTTGAACTTGTATTTCATCTTATAAAGCCTGTGATTTATCAATTCCTTTTGTATGTCAAATCAAATCAAATCAAATCAAATTATGCTTTATTGCCACGGAAAAATTCACAAATTTTTTGGACAAAGCGAGTTAAAAAAAACGAAACAAAATACTACAACATAAAGTACGTACAGTACAGTCAACAATGGTAAAAAATTAAAAAATATAATAAAACAGTACAAAATATATCACGTACAATCGTCATGCTCATGATAAAAGTGAATAGTGACTTCCACTAAACTCCTGAAGTCCCAGTCAGTAGAAAAGGATGTTACGATTTTTATACTACTCACATTTTCTGAATATGAGCAATATAAGTTTGACTATTGATATCCTTTATCAAATCGAAATTTTCGTTACAATGGGAGCAATCCATTCAACTAAACTACATATTCAAAATTGCCATAAAACGATACTAGAGATTTTTCTCAAATTTTTTCATTATTCAATATTTCTCTAGCAAACAAACACAAATGAAAATTAAACCAATTGGAAAAACGTATTGAACAAACAAACACACTGGTAAAGCTCAAAAGTTTTATGTAGAGTCTGGTTTAAAAACGTAAAAATAAACCAAAAATGTTGTTTTAATCGATAAGAACTTTGCTGAGAAACATCTTTGTTTAATTTTTTAAGAGAGGCTTAGGTTCCAAAACTTCGTATGTATATTCTAATGCCAATTTTCGATTTATGTTATATTCAAAAGTTCAATTTATCCGAATGTTGCAAGTGAGATACTTGAATTAGCCAAGAATAGTTTATCTCGTTTCATTTGTGTAAATGAAACATTTTGACGTAAATGAATTGTTTCATAATATTGCAACAACAAGCTAAACGTTACGCGGCTGAACGGCAAAGAAGCCTTGAAATTGAAATTGCTGTGTGGTCGAGTGAGTGGGTCGATAACTTCATTCTTTACGGTAACATTTCAATAAGCCGAAAATACTTCGTTATGTCTTGTGATCAGGATTTCGAGAAATTATATTCACCAAGCCAATGGTCAAAAAGATTCAACAGTAAAGAAGTGCTTGAAAAACATGTTCAATTTATTGAACATCGTAAGTACCTACTTCTTTTGAATTATTAATGCTGGTAGAAATGAGAGGTTTTATATTTTGTATCGGATAATTATGCGAATTTGCCGATGAAGGCAAGTTGTTCAGGTTAAAGGAGATGATGACAAAAACATTTTTTTTATATAACAATACCATGGACTTAATATTTTTATTTTTATATTTTCAATTTGTCTGTACTATTTCAGCTTACTTAATTTACTAATATTAATAACTTACTTTATTCTTTTGAAATTTATAAATTTTCCCAATGAGTTATGCAGTAATCAGACGTGAGCAAACTGTACGTTAATTATGAAAAATCACTTCCGTAGCATAAGTATAAAAATACAAGAGAATGTTTAAACGAATATAATTGTGATTAATCAGAAGAGTAAAATGTTATGAAATTATATTTATATTGATTCCTTTTAATCATTTTAACTGCATTCTTATTGAAGAAAGTCTTATTAAAAGCTATTTCTTTGATTACAGACAGCAGGTTGGTACGAGAAAAAATTCCATGCCATCTAGGGAATTCTTATGGACCAGGACCAAAGGAAAAGTACGACATATACGGAACAGACTTGAATAATCGTGAGTTCTTATGCAATATTACAGATTCTTAAGAACTTTCAATCATTACAAACCATTACCTCTATTAGAGAAACAATTGTCTTAACAAACACTCCATAGAAATTCATTCTATTTTATTCATTTAAATTCATTCTATTCAACCAGAAACAWATTYTGAAAMATGMAKAAAYWKTKTTGGKMGTTTTATGGMMTAAATAAATAAATGSAAAAGTGATTATCTRAGATTGAAATTATAAAAGTGTATAAGTAGTATAAGACTGAAGGRAACGAAAAAAAGTTTTAACTTTTTTAGTTATTGGCAGACATGTTCTTCCCGATCGTTCTACTTTTATGTAGAACGATGAACAGAAAATTAAATTAAAATATATTGCCTGTCCCAAAAATGGACAATTTAATATTGAACATATTTAAAATACCGCAGGGCCGTAGAAACAAAACTAAAATCAGAAATAATTTTATCAGATTTAACGTATCCTAGAAAAAGTGATAAAGTGACAGAATATTATATCAGTGGTACAGCATCTGCGAGGCGAGGTTGACAATGAAATCAAAAATTTTACAGAAGATTTTTTATTACAAAATAATACACAAGTTAGGTATTCAATTATTACCAAAGATGTAAGAAAAATCAACACACGACTACTTTTCACTTTGCCTTCTTTCGATTATCATAAGGTTGTAAGCGTTAAGCTAACATTTATATATGAACTACATAAGTAAAATTCAAATTGAATAACTGTTCTTCATTGCATTAAGTTCATCCTCCTTGAGCTTATAAAATCATGTTTGTTCCAGATGCTCCAATTCTGATACATATTCACGGAGGTTATTACCAAGAAGAATGCATCACACATTCAAACAATGGTTTCATCGCAAGCGTTTTGCATGAGAGTGGCATTAAAACCATTTTATTAGGGTATGAATTGAGCCCACAACGCACAGTAAGTGAAATTTTGGAGCGCTTGCAAATTGGTCTAAGGGAGTGTATAAGCTACGCCACAAAACTAGAATCTCGGTAAGCCATAGAAGATAGTGTCATTTGCAGTACTTACCAAATATGTTTTTCAGTGCTCTTTATCTGTCTGGTCACTCAGTTGGAGCTCATGCTATAGCTGCTCTCCTTTCGGAGTTAAAAAAATCGATTTCATCAGCAGAAAGTGACTTAATTCAGGGTGTTTTTCTAATATGTGGGCTGTACGACATGGTACCGATCACAAAAATGTCGGCTAACGACTTGCTGAAACTCACAGCAGATACAGCCAGAGAATTAAGCCCACTCTATGGCGAACTTGATTATGGCAGTACAAAGATTTTTATTGTAGGCGCTGAAAATGATAGTCCAGCTTTTGTGAGCGATTCTCAAAAGTTTTATAAAAAGCTGCATCTGATGGGTGCAAACTGTTTCCTGACTATCATTCCAGATGCTGATCATTTCGATATTATTGAGAATTTGTATGATCGCAATTTTCAGCTTGCAGATTTCATGGTAAAAGCCATCAAGGAATAGTGTTGATTATTTATGTATCCACTTTAAAAGAGTGCGTTGAAGCTTCACTTTAGAAAGCTAAACACGAATCCTTTATCCCAAGTATATATACATATATATCCTAGTATTTCTGCATAATTTATTTCTAATTTACAACCATACATTAATTGAGATTGACAATTGCTTAATCCCAATTTGATTATTTACAAAGCATAGATGAACTATTCTAATATTTACTAGTTACTCGGTATCTATCCACATATAAAAAATTCAAATCAGTCATTTACAAAGTTCTATATGTAAGTGTAAATAACAATATCACAGAACAAGACTAGCTTTTTTTGTTTGGCAACATCAAATTCCAATCAATACTGAACAATGAATCTAAATATCCACAAACTACAAAACTGCTTTTAATAATGAAAATTACGTTTAGGCTTGAATTTGCGTTTTATGTCCAGCTAAGTAGTTGGAAGAGAAAGACAATTTACATTAAGTGAATGTAATTATTGAGAGAGTAATTGTTCACTCTATTGGCTTGAAGTGGCGCATTTCTCCATGTAATACATATCACCTAGCAATTGTGTTATCGGGATTTCTCCGATAGTTTCTTTAAAAAACAACAATTCCACAGTCATGGATCTGATTGCCCTTAGACTAGGAACTAACAGCAGAAGCCTTCCAAATCTTGTCGGTTGTCTGGGATATCGCATTCTCACATAGTCTCCTAAAATGCATTGAGCCTGGTCTTGAAGCATTTCAACTGGTTGAACATCGCATAATCCAGCAGTTTCTAACAAATAAGACGGTCCTATTTTAAACGCTTAGAGCGCGTATTATTTATTGTCTTAACGAATATAAATTCAGTTACAGATATTGCCAATTTTTTAAATGAACTAAAAATAAGAAGCTGAAGTGTGCAATAGTTAATGCGAAGCTAAAAGTCCAACGTTTTCCCTTCAATTTGTTCTATTTCAGCTTTTCGATTTATGCACTAAAATCAAGATCAAAGATCTGTACGGGAAGCAAAATGAAAACTTGATAAAAGGCAAATGTGCTACTTCCAAATCTGAAATCAAGTGCTACGTTTGGACATCAAAATTGTGAGAGCTACGTTTTTATGAGGCGTTTTAAATTAGTTTGGATTTTTCTTCATTACATTTTACCCACTTTTGGTTCAAAAATAACACATTTATATTAATTCTTCTGGTAATGTAAATATGTATATTACTTAATAAGTTTAAATATTTTTCAGATGATAAATAAAATCGGATCAATGTATAGATGCTTGTACTGCCTTCCAACATTTAATCATATTAGAATTGTTTGTTAACAGAAATCGAAAAAACTACAAATTTTCCACTATCCGATAAATATGTAAGATTGAATAGAGGTTATTTGAAAAAGTAAGAAAATAGGGAGTAATGTGAAGAGAACGTGCGACCTGCGAAAAATTTTATTGTTGATGTTAATTTTGCAAATCTGTTAAACATGTGTATTTTTTAAATAATTTGAATATCGGCCACTCTTAAACAAGACCACAAATTAAATTGAATTTCTACAAAAAATCAGCATTTATTAGTTTGTAACCGCGTAAAAATCATAATTTTTCAATCAACTGCTTAAAAGTAACGACGAAAAAATAATTTGATGCCTTGATAATATTTAGCGCCCCACTTTCTAGGGACACTGTTTAAGGCAAATATTTTCGAGGTTGATTGATTGAATCGTTTCCGGTGCCCTATTTTTGCTAAATACAATAAATCAAGTAAGTATAATTTTGCAAAACATAATAAAGCAATCAAATGTTGACAAAAGTTAGTAAATTACCGTAAACCATTCAACAAAATTGGAAAAACTTACCAGGTGTGAATAAAATTATTGCTTTCATACAGCCGCATTCACTTCCGTCTGGCGATATTTGTCGAAAGCGACACATAATTTCCTGAAAACTCCGACAATTAATAAAAACTTATACACTTGTCGGGAAGCTGTACTTGGATGGTTTTTATTTCAGTGGCTGTGTGCACATCATTGGGCAGTCTGTCTCTAGCCTGTGGACAGCCCAATACAGCTGAGAGATCCCAAGGTACCGACCATTGAGCCAAATGGAGCAAAAACAGCTCTTTCCAGGACTCTTGGAGCAGTAGAAGTTGATCGTTTTTGCTCAGCGTCTGGAACGGCGCTAGACATCGAACCCAACGTACTGCCATAAAAAGTAGACGGGCTGTTGTTTCCTAATAGATGAAAATTAATTTTGTCACATTTCTTTAGCAGAAAAATTGAATAATTTTTTGTTTAGTGGTGGAGATACTGTATGTGTAACTCAAATGTTTCGAAATAAACCGTGCAAAACGAATAGTTTTATTGAAATATTACCTTTTTTTGTTAAAAGTGCCAACATTTTCCAAGCAATTGGTAAAAGTATTACTTAAGTGTTCTTTCCAGCGATGTATTATTTTATCAATTATCAATTATCGCATAAGCTCATTATTTTCAAAATATATGAGCACAAACGTGGCGTAATGTAGAAAAGTTTGGCTTATCTTACATCCAAATGAACAATATTCAAATTTGACGCTTCTCGTTCAGGAAAATTGGCATTATTTCTTTACTCAATTTGCAGCAAGTGAAACGGGATCGGGACTCTTATTCTCTATCTGTTGGTAGGAAAACGGGATTTGGGTCTCGAATAGATTTTCAGATACGACAAAAAATACAGCGTCATGTTGGAGCCAATTATGCAATAAAGATTAATGCAATTATGCAAATGTAGAATTCAACCGAGCAAATTTAATAGTTTTCTGGAACTTTGTGCTTTTTGGGAAAAATTTCCCAAGTGATGCTTAAGGTGGTGTTAAAAAAATATAAACAGTTCGTTCACTTCAATAGCCAGAGTTAAAGCTTTAGTGTTTTTATCAAACACGCGTACTTTTATAAATCCAATGTCTTTGTTGTGTATGTAATTTTATTGGAGAACGACTAAATCGAGTGAGTCTTATTGGAATCCACATTGCCGAATTTCACCCTAAGGAGGCGTTTCCCCAATTCCAGACTGGATATTTTAGAGCCAACGAGAGATTCGCAGTCAAAAAGTCAGAGCGAATGAAAGTCAATCCTGCAAGCAGGACCTCCCATCCAGTAAGTTTACATTTTCCTGCATAAAGTGTCGAATCGAGGCGCAATTTCCGCAAAGAAATGTTTCGCATCAAAATTTACCCAACTCATGGGTAATATTTTTTTTCGAGTAGAGGATTTTGTGATTTTACCTGAAGCATCTCCCAAGTAGGCATCAGAGGCAGCGGCGGAGGCAAAGTGGGGCTCATTTGTGGCAATGGTAATCCTGGACTGGACATACTTAGGCCGCTGCTGGATTCAGATGCGGATGATTCTAATTGGGAAAGTTTTGTTCCCCAAACCAACTCCTGCAATGCAAACTTTGGCTTGGAAAATAGCTACAAGTTTAACATTCAAATTTAATTCGATTGCCTCTGATACATTTAAGACAGATTAGACAAAAAAATAGTTTTTACTGAATATGTTTGTATACAACAAAATAATAAATTCAGGCAAGCAAAAGAAAATATAAACTAGCCCGGCTCTAAACTGATTGTTATGCAGATAATTTCTAAGAAGGACTCAAGAAGTTACCGTAAAAAAATAAAAGAGTGTTTTAAACATGTTCATGCTCCATCATGGTTTAAAATGTTGTGCAAGCACATAATTAGTGCAAAAAAGATGTTTTTGTGATTTTCCTAGCTTGTTTTTGTATGTAGCTTATTAGCTAAATAAATAGGAATTTTATTTTTTAAGCATTTTCTCCACTAGTTCGACCGATCTTTGCCACTCGTTCCGACCTTTGTATTGTCCCACTTTAAGTGCATTTCCGCTCAATTTATTCATTTTCTACGTAAAAGAACCAAACTCCTTTGAAAAATACCTGGCATTTTTCTGCTGACATCAAGACATGCAGAAGTCCAGGTGGTGGTGGTGGTAAATGCGGATGATGAAACAAATGCGGCGGTATCGAACTGCCATTCTCCAAATGACCCGGTGGACTTCCGACTGAAGATGGTGGAGGAAATGTGAGCACCTTCAGAGGATGATGCGGAGGAACAAAGAGACTGCTATGGGTAAATTGAAAAGTTCCGGAAGTTGGGGTGATTTTACTGGCGGAACCTTCAGGCAAAGGTAACTGAAGCGGATGGCTGCCCATGCTGGAACCGGATTGATGATGCGAAGAACTGGTACCGCCCGGCATCTGCTGCAGTTTCGGTTTTCTTGGACCGCGTTCGTGCTGGACGGCTGCAAAGGAGAGAATTGCTATGTCAAGTGTATTACAAACTGCCGACTTTAGTAAGTTTTTGGCATTCAATTCGCGTTTGGTAAGTTTTGAACAAAATACCTTATTTGAAAAACCCCCATACCGATTTTCATTGCTAGAACAGTTCTATTAGTATTAAACAGAAGATTTGCAGGTGAATGAATTATTCTGTAGATTTATAGATCTAAGAATAAGAATATTTTGTAGATATAGATGGTTTTTGCTAAGAGTTAAAAGATAACTTTGTAGAATAATTCGATTATTCTTCCAACTGTTTTTAAAGCTTCTGCCTTTTTCTTTGATTTAATATTGTCATCACATTTTCATGCTGTAATTTGATTTGGCTAGATTTTACTTCAAAAAGTATACTAGAAGGAGTAAGCAAAATAATATATTTTTTATTCGAATGAATCGAAAAGTGCCATTTTGCGAACAGAAGCGGTGATCAAAAAGAAGCACTTTTCTTTAGCGTTCATTTGTTTTACTTTTACGCAAAGACTTTGCCGCACAGTGTGCGACAAAGTAAATGTGACACTTTGAACTTGCCACTGTCATTATATGTTTTTTAGTATTTTTATTTAAAAATAACCGAAATGCTTTTTTAAGGAATTA